TGCAGTGGTGTGAGCTCTCTCACGCCATGGTGCTTGTTATAGAAGAAGGCCTGTTTGCTCTTCTCCGCAGCATCTCGAGCTCTGATGTGATGTCTGCTCGGCCACCTTGGTTACAGGTTCTTGGCCCGAGTGGGCAGCGTCGTCCTGATTTTCCTGCCCATTAGGAGCTCTGCCGGACTGACACCCGTACTGCTGTGTGGAGAAGAACGGTAAACCCATTAAAGCAAGTAGGGGGTCCTTTTGTCTCAGAATCCCCTTTGCCGTTTGAACTGTACGTTCAGCATAACCGTTTCCTTGTGGGTTGTGGGGACTAGAGGTTGTGTGCTTAAAGTCCATGTCACAGGCAAAGCCTCTGAAGACATCGCTGCTGAACTGCGGTCCGTTGTCACTGACAACCTCCTCCGGTATTCCGTGCCGGGCAAACGTGGCTCTCAGCTTCAAGATCACATGTGCACTAGTCGTGGTAGGCATGTGGAGTATCTCCAGGTATCTAGAGTAGTAGTCAGCTATGACTAGGTAACTCTCTCTCTCATGTTCACATAAATCTATGCCAATTCTCTTCCACGGCCTGTCTGGGAGAGGTGTTGGCAGGAGAGTCTCTCTGTTCTGTGCTCTCCTCTGCTCACGACAGTACATGCAGTTCTCGACTTTGTGTGTGATCTGTGTGGCTATGCCAGGCCACCACACCGAAGTGTTGGCCCTGTCTCTGCACTTGTTAAGACCTTGATGGCCCTCATGTATGCGTTCTAGTATCTCTGACCTCAATCTCCCTGGTATCACTATTCTACTCCCTCTGGTCACTACCCCATCATGCATAGACAGTTCGTTCCTAACGGGAAAGTACTCCCTAACACAGGTGTTTATGTGTGCTAGGTGTTCAGGCCACCCCTCTTTTATGTATCTGATCACTTCTTGGAGCTGCTCGTCCGCTGCCGTCTCCGCGCGGATGCTGTCTATCTTTTTCGGCGATGCTGGAATGCTGCTCATCACAGCTGCTACGTAACACTCCACGTCTGTGTCTCTACTGAGCCCCATTTCTTCCTGTGGGCTCCTGGACAGTGTGTCTGCCACCACCAGGGTTTTCCCTGGCGCATACTCAGCCTCTGGGTTGAACCTCATCAACCGCATGAGGAGTCGCTGGCAGCGGAGTGGCACATTGTCGAGATCCCTGGAGTTCATCAGTGGGATGAGGGGTTTGTGATCCGTAATCAGTTTGAATGCTGGTAGGCCGTAGAGATACATCTGAAACCTCTCACACGCCCACACGCTCGCCAGGCACTCCTTCTCTATCTGAGCGTACCTGGTTTCAGTGTCGCTCAGTCGCCTTGAGCAGTATGCTACCGGTCTCCAGTCCTCGCCATGGAGCTGCAGCAGGACACCGCCTATCCCATAACTGCTTGCGCCTGCTGAGACCAGTGTGCTCCTGTTAACATCATAGTACACCAGGGTAGGTGACGTTGTGAGGAGCTCTTTAACTCGCTCAAAGGCTGCTTGTTGCGCCGGACCCCACATCCACACTGAGTCTGCTTTTAACAGTGCATATAGTGGGTGGCCCACTGTGGCGAGGTCTGGAATATATTTCCCCAGGTAGTTGATCATGCCGAGTGCTCTCTTTAGTTCCTGCACGTTTTCTGGTGGTTCAAGTTTGCTGACTGCAGACACTTTGGCTGGGTCGGGTCGTACACCATCTTTGTTGATCACCTGACCCAGGAAGTGCAGCTCCTCCTTTCTCAGCACACACTTCTCATTGTTCAGCTTCAGGCCTGCAGACTCCAGCCGATCCAGAACCTTCTGCAGCCGCTCATCATGTTCGCTGGTGATGCTGCCATGGATGATGATGTCGTCCATGTAGACGGCAACGCCATCCAGCCCTTCCAGCGTCTCCACCATCTTCCTCTGAAATATCTCAGGTGCGCTGCTTATCCCAAAGGGAAGACCTTTAAAACAGCACCTTCCGTACGGCGTGATGAAGGTGGTCAACCTCTGGCTGTCTTTGTCCAGTGGGATCTGCCAGAACCCTGACGCTGCGTCAAGTGATGAGAAGACTGTGGAGCCGCTGAGCTGAGCTATCATCCCCTCTGATGTCGGCAGGATGAATCTCTCCCTTTTGACAGCCTTATTAAGCTTCTTTAAGTCCACACAGATGCCTGCTTTTCCAGACTTTTTCTGGATGGCACCATGGTGCGCACGTGGGTCAGTCACGGCTTCAATGATGTCGTTGGCTTCCATCCTCTCCAACTCCTCTTTCACTGCACCCAGGAGCGGTATGGGGACCCGGCGTGCTGTGCATACTGCATAGGGCTGGGTATTGTCCTTTAGAGCTATCTTCACAGGCTGGGTTTTCAGTAGGCCAAACTCCTGTTCACTGGTGTTGACCTCGCCCACTCGCTTTACTAACCCCATAGCTACAGCTACTGGCCTGCTGAGTAGGTTATTCACACTCTGCCCTCTAATGACATAGAGCCTGCATGTGTATGTTTTTCCCTTGTAGCTGGTCTGAGTTATAAACTGCCCTAAACAGTTCAATCCACCCCCGGGACCACTCAGCACCTTCTTTGGCCTCTGTAGAAACCTTTTTGGCTCCAGTGTTTTGTACACAGTTTCGCTTATGATACTACAATCGGCTCCAGTATCTATTTTAAATTCTACAGGTGAGCTGCTAATCTCTAATGTGACTGTCCATTCATTATCATTGTGAGGCATGCTATTAACTGAGCCCAGATAATAATACTGTCCATCTTCTGATCCCTCACCCTCAGTCACTTCTCTCACCTGCTTGCTCTTGCACACCCTTTCCCAGTGTCCACTTTTCCCACAATTATTACAAGTAGACCTCCTTGCTGGGCAGTCATCCTGCTGGCTGTGTGGCATTTTGCCGCACCGCCAGCACTTCCTGTGGTCATTCTCACTCTCTCTCTCCTGGCGCCTCTCTCTCTCTGTGGGCGCCGCCACTTCTGTGTTGCACCTCTGCTATGCCGTTGTGCTACTTCCTGCACGGCGTAAGCCCGCTCCCCTTGCTGGTTAACTTGAGCTTTTACCTCCTCTGATTGATGCGCCTCTTGTACCGTCATCTCCAGAGTGAGGTTAGGGATCAGCTGTAGCTTCTGAGACAGATCCTTGTCTAGAATTCCCACCACGATTCTGTCTCTTATATTTTCCTCACGAGCCGTTCCGAAGTTGCAATGTTCCGACAGCTCATATAGTGCGCGGATGAATGTCTCTGCGCGCTATCCCGCGCGCTGCATTCTCTGGTTGAAACATGCCCGTTCATGTATAACGTTGCGTCTCGGGATGAAATATGCGTCAAATTTCGCCAGTACAACATCATACTGCGACTCATTTTCCTCTTCCCCGTAGGTAAAAGAGCTGAGAATGTTCTCTGCTTCCTTCCCGAGCGCATACACCAGCGTGCTTACTTGAACTGGACCTTCTTCTTTGTCCAACTTAGTAGCTGTCCTGTACCGTGTAAACCGTTTCTTCCAGTCTGACCATTCGGCGGGTTTCTCGAAACAAAAACTCTCTGGTGGTTGAAACTTTGCCATCCCGACCACTTCTGACACCATGTAATATCTTGGATATTAACAGACAACGGAACAGTTGGTTATTTAACAGCACGCTTTATTGCCTCCTCCGGTGGTTCATCAATCCCCACCTAGACTACCTCTCGCGCCACTCCCACTTACTGTAACTGTCGTAAACATGCCGTAACGTATATGACAACTCCCCTTGTAGTCAGTTAACAATACTATGACACACTCTACAACGAGAAGCTCATGGGGCTTTCCCGAACCTGTGTCGAGAGCTGGAGTTAAATGAAATCTCAGATTTGCCTTCTTAATAGTTTGTTTGGGTCCCTAACTTCCGCTTCGCTCCTCATGCACTGATTCGCTAGCTGAACAGCCAATCAGAGTGATTTATTTGACAGACAGCCTTTGGCCAAAAATGTGTCGGCACGGCCGAAAAGACACAATGGTGCGGGACACATCAATCTGAGTAGGGCGACAGGACGCTCATCGTCGGCCTGACATCCATCGACGGCCAAAATCGGCTAGGTGTGTCCGGGGCTTAACACCCTTACACGGCAGGAGGTGAGGGACAGGGACCACAGGACAGGGTAGTTGTCTAACTGTTTGTAGTCTGATAAACAGTAAATTGATCAAATGTAGTGCCAGAATAGACGTGAGATTACTTGAGAGTTGTTGACAAGGGGATATCAAACATCCATAGTCAGTCGCATTGATGTACATCGACGCTTTCGCCATTCCGAAGTGGGCGTGGCTAAATCTAAACAGGGTTTGAAAAACGTTTAACGCAGGAGGGACTGCAGACCACTGGGAGACAAGTAAATCAATAACACCCTAAGCAATTAAAGGACAATCAAATTAGTTTACATTTTCTGTCCATCACTCATTTGTTCATCAAGTTATTGTTGTAGATACTGTATAAGGTTTCTGTTTTAGAAAAGGTAAAGAAATATAAGTGCTGTAAGTGTTACCACTTCCCTCATGCTGCTGGAGTGAGACAGAGGTAGGCAATCTTCAGATTTGCTGTGAAAGACATACAGCATTCAGAGGTTAGCAGCCTCTCAGCAATAATCCCATTCCTTTAGTGTGATGCAGCAAAGACTCAGTAACATTACGTCGTTAACTCCCTACAAGGTACTTTAGCTGCCAGAGTTCACCTCCACCTGGTGGACCACCTCACCATGACATAGTAAAACGATGTTAACAATGGTAAGATATATATTTGAGTCTTACATTGGGATCCTGCTCCTATAAAAAAAAAAGCGTGGGAGACAGGTTCAGGGCATTCCAGCTGTTGGAAATAATAATGGAATACTTTCACAGGTGTAGGGACATGGGAAAGTTGTTAACAGCACTGAGATGTGGAAGACAGCTCAATGGTGTGAAACATTCCTTCACTCTGCATCCACAGAAATAGGGAAAGGGAGGGGGGGCAGTCAGAGGCAGGCTTTTTCTTGTTGTTGTGCATTGCATGTATGAACAGCACAATTATATTAGTCTCATCTGGATAAGTCCTATTCAGCTGGAAATTACAAGAAACACAGAGCAGGCCTCAACAAGCTTTATATTCTGATTTTTGTATATTCAGAATTGTGTAGATGTTTAAGCTATGCTCCCTCTGTCAGCAAATTCTCAAAGGTTACACATGTCTGTTGTGATTTCACTCCTCTGCACAGTGTGTTTTGCTCCCTTCCCATGTTCAGTGTGACTCAGTTGCTCTCACTGCAGCCTTTGATTAACCCCTCCCGCTACATTCTGTTTAGTGCAAAAGCTATCTTTGAGATGTATGCTACCACCCCGTTATAATCATGGTTCTTTTTGTCTATTTTTTTCTCACAGGCCGGGCGCATGTGGTCAAAACTTTGCTGTGGTCAAAAGGGGCTGCTCTTCCTCTTTCCCCTCTTCCTCCTCTTCCTCGCGATATTTGTGATGGCTATGACCCTGCCCCGTCCTTTGCCGCACTCTGACATGGACTGGAGGTCGTCCCGAGCCCTGAGCTCCACCGGGGAGCTGAGACCCAGGCCCAGAGACATGAATTCACCCACTGTTTCTTCTAATCAGCAGCAACTCACTCACATCCAGAGCAGGACCTGGAAACCCTCTCCAAAAGACTCATTTAAATATTCAGTGCCAGCTAAACTTGTTGCTCGTGAGGACAAAAACAACATAAAAGACAGAGGTCACCCAGACTTTGTCAGAAGTAAGCATAAAAACAATGGCATTGCTTCAAAACGAAAAGAATTGGCAGGCGCCAATCTCTCTCGGTTTACAGTTAACAACACAGGGCCAAAACATAGAATCAAGCCAAGCGACCACGGTGCTGTGGTGAAGCACTCTGCACGGGTAAATGGCAGTCAGGCTGCACACAGACAGGCAGCCAGATGGCACAGGAAAGCAGACTCACCAATACAAAGTGCAAAGCTAGGTCAACATCACAAGGAAAACAACAGACCAGCAACAAATCACTCTGGGAAATCTGGCAAAGTCGCTAAGGATTGGCAGGCTGTGAAAAACTCCTCTAGGGATCTGAAAAAACAACACAATCCCTCGGAAGAGAAGGAAAATAATCCTGGCTCGGCTTTGTCCAACCAAAAGACAGCCATGAAGAAAAAGGAGGGCGCCTGGTGTCGGAGCTTCAGAGAGCAGAACTTCCCAGGCAGTGACCGGAGGAGGATCAGGGTCAGCCCAGAGCTCCAGCCCTGGCTCAGCAAGGAGGACATCCAGAAGATGGAGCTCCTGGCAGGGGGCCAGGTGGTCAGTAAGGCCAGGGTGCCAGCACATGGACAGGTGCTCCAAGTGGCACTGGATCCTCCTGCACCCCAGCAGGTACACAGATACACTGTTTGGAATTAACTGTTTGTAGATGATATGTTTTTATATAGGCAGCTATGTCCTAGTGATGCGCTGTGCAGTTTTCACCTTAGCTGTGTTAAGGTTACTCTAAAAACTGGACCCAGTCGCAGAACACAGACTCGAGAGGGAATTAAGTTTTACAGATTTACAGAGGTTGTCAAGAGATGAGGGAAGGGCTAGCTATGGCAGGATAGTGGAGGTATGGAAGGGGAGGCAGGCAGGTGAGGCTTGAAGCCTAATGGTGTGGCAAAGGGAGAAGCAAGCAGGCTGTCGGGAGGGTCCGTTGGCAGGTGAGCTGATGATCCACTGGTGGCACAAGGAGAAATATTAGCATCAAAACACAGGAAAATACTCTGGCAAGGAAACTCCAGTTGCTGGAGGACTGTAGTAGATATGCTGTGTGACAGAGTATTACAGTTGAGGGCGAGGAGCTTCCACTGCCTGGAATCATCAGCTATCATTGTCAATATAACGCACACTTCAGTATTATCCACATAATATCAGGCAATATTTCCCTTTAACTGCTGGGTAAAAGGTTGTTTTGATTGTTTTACTTACATATACAAATTGTATCTACAAAGTGAGGCCATTCCAATGAAAATATTCTTAGCTTTTACCTGAGGCACCAGGTATTGGGCTAGGTGTCTAAAACAAAAAGGTGTTTTATAAATTAGAGTTGTAAAAGTGTATTTCTCCCTCACAGAAGAGGGATCCACCTTCCCAAAACCATGCAGAGACCCACAGTGACCGCTGCCAGCAGGGGCTCTGCTCCCTGGTCAAACGCACTGACGACTGGTTTGAAGTGTTCTCCTTCCACCTGGACCGGGTGCTGGGACTCAACAGGAGTCTCCCTGCTGTGCTGAGGACTTTCCACAGTGACATTTTACCGTACCGATATACCAGCGGCACACCCAGACCTGTAGTTTGGTGGGATCCAGACATTAAACACCTGGCTGATAAAGACAATGACCAGAACTCAGTACCGCTCAGCTGGGCCAGGTACCAGAAGCTGCTGCAGGCCCACTGTGGGAGTGAAGAAAACCTGAAGACAACGCCCTGTGTGGGAGTAGACCACCCAGAGTGGGGGAGACTGGCTCTCTTCGACTTCTTATTACAGGTAAGCTCTGTACCACGCTCACGCTCAGTACCCACATGTGTTCACAGAAGATCACACACAACATGACTCATACAGTGACAGCAGTACTACACAGAACAGTGGCATGTCCAAATTAAAGGGATTTGGGGTAGTGAGAAAAGAGGACAGAGTCTACATACAGTAGATCACCAAGAGCTATGGAGGAGGGGAGACATACTGGAACTGGGTAAGTAAATGTATTGTAATTTTTTTTTTTTAAACAATTTCTTTATTGTTTAAGCATACATAGACAATATATAAGACTGTACACAAACATCCACAAGACATACCAAATTAAAATACATTACAAGTCACATAAATAAATAAAATTAACTTCACAAACACGTGGGTAGGCTAAGTAAGGAAATATACAAATATGAAGGCAGATAGGAAAGGTTTTTATCCTTCTCCCAGCAGAGGAGCATTAATCATCTCCAATTTGCTGACCCATAGTACTCTCTAGATCCGCATGTTCCAGATAGTTAAGGATAGGGCCCCATACCTTTTTAAATAGTTCTTGTTTTCCTTTAATTGAATAGGTTATTTTCTCCAATGAGACACATGCAGACAGTTCTTTTAACCATTTGCCAATAATTGGACTGTTAACATTTTTCCATGAAAGTGCTATCATGCGTTTTGCCTGCAGCAGACATAAATTTAAAAAGATTTGTTCTCTCTTCCTTATGTTGTGTTCTTTTGGGTAACACCCTAACAAAAAAAACATTTTACCTCTTCCCAAAACGCTTTTATCTTGGTACACTCCCAAACACAATGAAAGAATGTTCCCTTAAATTGTCCACATTTAAAACATAAGTCCGGAATATTATCATTGAACTTGTTTAGTTTTTCTGGGGTAATATACAGTATGTGCGCATTAGCCAGTTATATTGTAAGAGCTTAAGACGGGTATTCGCTGTTTGTGATTGAGCTTTCTTACAGGCACCTTCCCATTCATCAATCGAAATGTCTTCCTGCAAATCCTCCCTCCAATTCCTATGTTTAGCTTCGGATGACTCAGGGGAGCCAGATATAACATATAAGCAAGTTATAAAGTGCAGAAATTAGTTTTCCCCCCCTACAGTCCTTTAACATTATTTTCTAGTGTTGAGTATGGAGGTATAGTTAATAATTGTTTTTGGTTTGCTCCAATATAGCTTCTGATTTGTAAGAAATTGAAAAATTGTTTCCGTGAAATGTTGTGCTTGATTGCAAGCTCCTCAAACGACATCAGATTATCTTCATTGAGCCTATATAGATCTTGAATTTTCTGTACCCCCTTATCTGACCAAATCTTAAACCCATTATCAGCT